TGTAAATACATCTTATGAAGCACACTTTGGACAGGTTATGAAATTAGCTTGAAACCTAAATAAAAAGCAAGAAAAAATCAGTGCAAAACTTCACAGGCTTAGTAAGTAAAAGGTTCAATAAACTTACACGTGTCTTGCGATAACGCATGAGAACAAATTCGCCATCTGGTGGAATGAATGAGATCGCTTGGTCGGTACTGTACTTGTTAAGTTTTACGCATTGATGGAACTGACAGTCATCTATTGCAACGCCACCAACGGACTCAGGAGCCCTACAAGAGGTCGACGTCACTAATACCTCCTCTATCCAAAGTAAATACAAAATTATATCAATGAGATCCCAGTTAAAATAAGTCGATTATGATGCGTGACAGAAAAACCGTAAATGAGCATAACGCACAAATCGTCTCCGCTGCTAATGGCGCCGGAATTCTTGGGACGGTTATCCAAACTAATCTTGTCATTGAATCCAAACTTGCAATCAGGCATCCCACTGAGGTAACACTTCATCACTACCTTTCCAACCACATGAGCCGATAATATTTGACCTAAAAAGGATCACAAAACGACACAATCAAAGAGTGCTTATGTGTGCGGTCCAAAATTTGGTAGCAAGTAATACCTTGAGGTGACATCAGCAAATTAACCGACTCAGTTATATCAAGGAAAAGTTCGTTACGCCTGTACTTAATGCCCTCACGACGCCAGCTGATCTGTCCAGTAACCTGGTTCGTGATTTGAGTAGTTTCCTCTTTGTTTGCCGACCGTATAGCAGCTTGGGTAATGAGATTTCGGAGGACGTCAGTGTCAGTATTTTGAGCATAGCCGTAGTCTATCGCCTCGTCAAGAAGTTCATATATGAGAACAAAATTGTTTTTAATACTCTCTTCAGTGACCCGACCCAAATGCTGTTGGAAGATGCCCAAAATGGCATGTAGCAACTCAAAAACAGCTGCAGCATTAAGGTTACGCCGACTGACAGAACAAAGCCAGATGTTCCCCCGTTTAACGTGAAAGAAACTAGTTCTTGAAATGTTAACGATTGGAGAACGGATCTATAATCAAAAAGATGGTGACCTAAGAGGCATGTACTGTGCAAATAGGAACGTGAAGCAAGGACATTTACCAGAAAGGATTTCAATGGGAACATAAACCGAAGAACAAATTACTTTACAGACATGACACATTCGCTACACCCACCACTGATTTAAGCAGTAAAAAACTAGAAGTCTCTAAGTAGCGCAGCATAAACGATAAAACCAAAAGGTACTTGATGTCTGGAATGTATAACGTGAACGCGGAACACGTCAACAGCAGTTTTCGGTATTTCGTCGCGGAAAAAGCGTTGAATCAGAACTTCTCCTTTGTGGTTGTATATGAACAGGGCACCGATCAT